ATATATACATATATATATATTCTATCTATCTATACATACATTCATACACATGCAGATACAGACACACACGCACAGAGCTTAAGTATACCGCTAATGGTTTTGTCCGGCGTACCGCTATTCAGGGAAGCTGCAGGGATGAGCATCTCAAGGACGGTCTCATCCCACATGTGCATCCTGGAGTTCCTTTGCATTTTAATTACTGCGCTGGGCAAAGTAAGTCTGGCAGGTCACCGGACAGCTGGGCACTGTGATGAGCGAGCCGGGGAACTTACTGCATGGATTTCACACGTGGCGCGAGTCGGGCCCCTTTGGGGGTACACAGCGAAACCCTGAGGTCCAGCTCAATCTCCTTGACGTACGCCCGGCTCTTCATGCGGGAGCCATCATCTCAGCCTTGCTGCTCTGTCACTCGCATCTTCTCTCTCCTGCTGACAGGGACTCTTCAAGAGGGGATCGTGTCTCGTGTTGCTTGAGTCTCATTTTGCCGAATGTGTGGGTCTGATTGGCTTGAAGCCAACCTCCATGGTTAAGGCGGTTCAGGATAACAGCACCGGCAGCACCATCACCAGCATCAACAGCTTGAATTACCGAACACGGCCAGAAATAGTACTACGCAATTGCCACGAGTATTTGCAATCGCAATGATAGCGATGAGGGCGATGGAAATCATGTAATCCTCTTCGTCCTCCGACTACACGACGACAGCGACAGTTCCACTGCTACGGCTCCTAGTGCTGCTACGGCAAGTGCTGCTGCTGCTGCTGCTGTGCCAGAGGAAGCCCTAAACCCTAAACACTAAACCATGAGCTTTCCTTTCAGGCTGGACTCCAGCAACAAATTCCTGGACACTGCCAGCATTCACCTTCATGTCCCTGAGGGCGCCACGCCGAAGGCGCCAGTGCAGACTAGGAGATACTATCATATAAGTAGTTCATAGTGGATTACACGTTAGTATATAGCAGTATATTATAGTATACGATTGTTTTTCATAGTATGCTTTAGTGCATTATAGTAGATTACAGTTGATTATAGTATATCATAAAATGTTACAACATATTGTACTGTAATATACTATAGCATACTTCAAGTATAGTATACTGTAGTATAATGAAGTATGCTGTAGTATATTACTATAGTAACTCATAGTGTTTTACTATCGTCTATTCTTATATTATAGTATAGTATAGTATAGCATAGCATAGCATAGCATAGCATAGTATAGTATAGTATAGTATAGTATAGTATAGTATAGTACGTTATAGTTGCTGCAGCATGTCCTGGTATATCATAGTATATCATATCATCTTCTACTCTATTCTATGTCCCATCTTCTGGCCTTTGGGGTTCCAGGATTGGGGGAGATCTGATTTGGGCTTTCTCCGGTTTGCCGTTTTCAGGCGGAGCGCCGGAGGCGCAGTCGGAGGGTTTTGGAGTTGAACGGTGTAGGGTTTAGGGGTTTGGGGGTTTGGGGTTCAGGGCTTAGGGTTTAGGGTTTAGGATGCCGGTCTTTTGTGGCACATGTTTGGTATGGGACGACAAACCTTAACCCAAAACCCTCAACCCTGAAACCCGAACCTCTAAACCTCTAAGCCGTAAGCCCTAATCCCTAAACCAGCATTCACCAGGATGGCCCCTCGGCAGGGGTGACGATGCCCCTCGGATGTTCAACTCAGGTCTGCGTACTTGGAGGTTGATGGGTACTTATGCGGTGGGGTTGTAAGTCCCCTAATGATATGGGTTTAGGCTTTGGGGTTCAGGGTTTAGGGTTCAGGGGGCGGGGCATAAGTGCCCGAATATAGTTACCCTACTTCTCACCACACTTCGAACTACCCATGGACCTCCGGGTAAAAGGGGTCTTAGAAGGAACCTGAAGGGGAGACCCTAAATATTGGAGATACTGTGAGAGTCACTTTAAGGGTTGCTATAAGGCATGCTATACGGATTGGGTTTGGGGTCACCTTTCCGGGATACTGTCAGGGCTACTCTATACGTTCTACAGGGGGTTTAGAGGTCTAGTATAGACGTGGTAATTATTCAGGCCACTGCAAGGGCTTGGGGTTCAGGGTTGAAGTTTTGGGGCTCAGGGTGGGTTTAGGGTTCCAGGTTTAAAGTTTAGTAGACCCTAAACCTTAAACCCTAAACTGTGGTTCAAGCTTCTGAGCCTAGGGTTCAGGGGTGGTGCCCCGCCTTGAGAGGCTGCAGAGGCCCGTCCGCCCGTCACATCCGCTCTGCAACCATGGTTAGTTTAGGGTTTAGGGTTTAGGTTACTTGTCAGCTCACTACGTTTACTGAATCAGTCACGGTCTGGAACACTGAGCTCTCGTCGGGACTTGTGTGTAAATCAAGATCATGCAGTTCTTGGACTGTCAGGTTGACCGAAGCGGTCGATCCTCACATTTCATTGGCAACGGCTTGTCTTCATTCACTTAGATCACGCTAAGCCATCGTAGCCCCTAAACCCTAAACCCTAAACCTTAACCATCGTATCCCTCATGCAGAGGACTAGTGCCCTCGTCAGCACCGCCTTCGATGTGCCGCTTTTGGCCAAAGCCCTGGCGAGAGGGGGACGTTTCGAGGGTCCTGGGGAAGTCACTGTATCATACTTTAATGTGCGAAGTTACTAGAATATACTATAATGTACTGGGATATTGTAGATTATGCTATAATATAGTTTCATATACTATAATTAGAATGTACTATAGTGTACTAGAATCTACTATAATATACTATAATGTAGCAGGGCTTGCGCCCTTTACCGCCTCAGCAGTTGTTTCGTGCGGGATTTTGCGAAGCCTGGGCCCTGGACTGATCTGAGGATGACATCGCCATGACAGGCGAGCTGACGTTGATGGGCAAGGCAGATCCGAATATACCATTACAAAACAAAGATACGGTAATACTAATGCACAAGGGAAAATTATACTTATACTCTACTATAAAAACTTACTACGATATACTATGATATGTGGAGCTATTTGAAGTTGTTTTACCCCGCTCCCCTGACAGTGGCTTGCTTAAGTGGAGGTTCTCAAAGTCGGTGGCATCAAGGAGAAGGCGGCGACCCGGGTCGTGTTGTCTTGCAGGAGATGCCGTCGGCAAGTACTGCATACTACTCGCACTGTTTCATGTTGTTGCCTCGCATCCTAGCGCTGCATCCCTAAACCGACAGCTTGACACCAGGTGATCGCAGCACGCCGTGAAGGGGTGAAGACTCTGCTCCTCCCACGGCAGAATGAGGCCCCTGCTGGAACAGTGATTGTCCGCGGTCTCGCCTTGAAACCGTGCATAGGCTGACTTCATGGAGCTCAAAGAGTACCTCCGTCGCAACCTCAGCACATCCCGAAATCGATCTAACTCCAATAGCCCTAGATGCCGACGGCCGTGAACGAGAGAGACCATCCACATCAGAACGTCGGGTGCAGAGTAGGAGAGACAGCGCCGAGGTGCCGGCATGACAGCCCATTTCGTCGACCACTACGACGTGTCTCAACCGGAATCATTTAGGGGTTTAGGGGCTTAGGGTTTAGGGTTTAGGGGGAGCTAGCTAATTTAGTCATCCACCTCTTTATCGTTCCGGTCCGCAGCTGTTGCCGTTCGAAGTTTCAATTTCAGATCACCCGGGGCAGGTGCGGTTCAGGATGGCCCAGAACCTGCTCGCTGGAAGAGCCGAGTTTGGAGTTGTGATTGATATCGGGGCTCGGGAGTAGAACTATTCTCACTGCCGCAGCATGGGAGCAAGCAGTAGTATCGTAGTGGACACTCGTCTCCGTATGAGGCGGTCGGAACATGCAGGATCCCCAAAACTGCAACCTGCGAACCCCGCCTAGGCCTAAGACCCGAAGCTTGTAAGCAGGCCTACGCATCCATCCCACTACAAGAGCTCAAATGGAGCAAGGATGTGTACAAGCTGGCTTTCGACCAGACCAAGGCTGGCATCAACTTACTGAATGCTTCGAAGACTAGGGAGGGGGTTGTTAGGGTTTAGGGTGTAGGGCAGGGATTAGACACACATTGCACCGTGACGCTTGCACTAGGATGCGAAAAGCCCAACTAACTCTGCAAACGCACACATGCGAACATGTAGCTCGTTTTGCACTACTGCATACGCACGTTTTCAGTTGCTTGCTCCTTCTCGTCATTGAAATTTCGCAGTTTGAACACATTGCCGAAATTGTGGTATACATGTAGTCACAGCCGCTTCATCCCTCAGAAGGGCCCGGCGATTCGGAAGCTTCCCAACTCTCGGATTCCAAGGTTTCGTTTCGGGTTGGGAGTCTTGCAGCTTGAACCCCCGTCAGAGTACCCCTGCAAGGTGCCCCCTTTGTCGGCACCTTCGAGGGGCCTGCCTGTGATCACGGTACGGGACCGACCTTTGAGGGTGGATTTCGCTTCCGAGATCGGGACGGCCAGCGAAGCCCCTTGAGGTCTGTGTGTCTTCGGAAACAGGTGGAGGTGTCGGGGTTCGGAGGTTCTGAGTGTTCGAGATGTGCGCCGGCAGACTGCTCATGATTGGATTGGGCACAAATTCTGTGCGCAAGCTCCGTGATTTGGCAATTCCTTCGCCTGGGCATTGTTCAGCGCCGCCGAAGAGCATCTACTAGGATTCAGGAGAGTCTCCATGGGGAGCGGGTTAGGAGATTGTGTGGGTTCTTTCATTGATGCGATGCCTCTCAAATCACCTGAATGCAGCTTCCAGGCATCAACGCAATCTTTAAAGACCAGTCTAGACTCCAGACGGGATTTGAGGGGCCCTAAGGCCCTAACCCCTAAACCCCAAGCGGGAAGCGCTTAAAGGCTCATCCGAGCTGCTAAACTTCGGGACCGGCTTTCCAGACACTTCGCCGAGGTCGTCACTCCTGAAGAAGTGGTGCCCGAGAAGGTCAGCAGACTCCGCTTTAGAAAGCAACACGTTTTTGGGGCAAAATAGCCGTAGGTTGTACAGGTGCTTTCATAGCCCTTAACAGGGTGTTTCTAAGGGCTTGATATAGGGATCTGAAGAATTGGAATAGGGATTTGGTGCATATTCTGCGATGCAGCGTGGGGGCTGTAAGAACGTACTATTCGAGTTTTTCAGACCCCTACTTCATTGTAGTACCGGTGTAGGGGTTGATGACTTCAATGTAGCTGAGAATGACAAGACGCTCTTCAACCTGTACCCGCGCAGGGATACCTATTTGCACTCGAGGCCGCCTTCCTTTTCTGAAGGTTTAGGGTTTAGGGTTTAGGTATGCGCCTAAACCCGAAGCCTTGCAACATGCAGCGGGACACATCGCTTAAACATCTAAATCCCTCCACCCCAAACCCTGAAGCTATCAAAAACACACAGCGCTGGCGGTCGACAGTTGCAGGCAGAGGCGCCCTCGCCCGAGGCAGATTCTTCGGCCAACGAAGGCTGCACGAGAGAGGGTTTTGGGTTTAGGCCGCAACAGCGTTTCCATAATGTGGGGGCCTTAACATTCAGAACAGGGCTATGCGGTATCTTATAGTGCAATTGATAGTTATACAAAGGGACTATGACTATGAACGGGCACCAGTACTACCTACCCATTCAAGCTCCCGAATTTGGGCATCTGCAGGGCTTGTGTTATGCGGTTGACACACGATAGTATGGGCATTAGGGTCCCTTTTAGGGTCCTTGGTTCTGAGGGGTTTCTTTGTTTGAGCCTCCCGGCCAACCTTCGCGAGATGCTGCCAAGGTGCGTGTACGGTCGTCCAGGGGCAACCTCCTGAGATGCTGTGGTGCTAACGTTGGCGACTGTACCGGGGCCAAAGCCAAGCACTCTGGGTGTGCACCGGGGGATTCTGCTGCTGATGATTTCTTATCGGTGCGGCGTCGGCAACACGAACATGATGCCTTTTGATGCTCGCTCGTCCCATGGGGCCGTGGACTGTTTCCAGGACATTTTCAGGTGGGTAGCCTTATCGAAGCCTTACAGAAGCCCTATATACCCTAAACTCCCCACCCGTAGTTTCCTTCAACTGTTTGGGCTCCGGCTTCCCTCCCGGACCTCAGGGAGCAGGGCTGGCCTCGGGGTTCTGACCCTCCTCAGAGTTTTGTCGGTGCGTGTTTCCTGGGCGGGCTTGGTCCACAGTTGCCTTGCTCTTCTCTGACACACACTGTTTCCAGGGGTGCGGTGTCTGCACCCTCGTTTTGAAAGTGGGCGAACTCTCTCCCTTCCTTTCTTTTCCTTCTGCCTCTCTCTCTCCTCCTCTCCTCCTCCCCCTTCTCCCTCCGGAAGCCTCGACTGCGCATGCCTGGTTATGACTGCACACTCACTGCGCTAAGCGGCATCAACCGACCTTGCGAGATCGGGAGTGCTACGTAATTAGTGTCTGAAGGCAAAGTCATCACTCGTAAGATAGTGGTCTGGAGCTGCGCCACCCAGTGCCCATGGGATGTAGAAGTGTGGAGTGCCATACCATTGATTTCCGATTTTGGCCCTACTCCAGACCACTGCGTTACTAGCCTGCAGTTCTCAAACATAGAAAATATTTGGGTCTAGGGTTTTCATGCTAGCTACAGCCAAGATACGGAGCACGAAGTAGCCCACACATCGGCTCATCTGCAAGCATGTAGAAGCTCCACACGTGTAATGTGGTGGCCTAAGTGATTAGAATAGGACTTGGAGGTGTGCAATCGTAGAAGCATGATAATGATAAAGGAACCCTAAGGAAAATTACCCGAAACCCGAAAACAGTACCCTCAGAACTCGGGGACGGAAGCTGCAAGCACTGGCCAGGTCAGCCAGATCCGCTGTCCCAGCAGCCTTTGCCGACAGGCCGTCCCCAAACCAAAAAAGCCGCTGAACCCTAAGCCTGCCTAAGCCCAAATAGCCCTCGAATCACAAATCCCCACATCCCCGGGTGGCTGCGGTTCGGTTTGGGGTTGCGCAGGTAAACTGGTGTGGCGAGAGCAAGGGTGCCTAAACCCAAAACCCTAGCCCTGAGCAGGATGTAGAAAGTGCATAGCTCAATGCAGCGGCATGTCTCAGACTACGCTCTGGCTTAAGCCCTGCTCCCGACAGCCCAGATGTCGTTTGCTCGCATCGTGGTTCATCTGGAAAGTTTTGCTGTGTGGCAAGAGTGCAGTGCATCCTGCAAAACTATGAGTTCTTGCGGTTCACCTCATCCCCTGCAGACCAAATGGCAAATCAAATTTCACGAGACATGCGTTTCATGATTTTGTTGTTTTTTTGCCGGTGTTTTCCTTGATTAGTAACTGGAGGAAGCGACCCAGCATCCCAACAAGTCACGGTCTGTGCATTCAGGATCCAGCAAAGTGAGCTAATCGTATCTGCCTTTTGAATTAGGGTCACTCTCTATGTACCCCTCTGCATGACAATTGAATTCGCGCAGCCCTCCAGGGCCGCTCGCACATAAGTTTCGTTATTAAAGTTGGATCGAGACATGCAGGATCTTTATCGCCCCCCGGATTCTAGGATGGACTTAGGTGCTGAACCAAAGCCCTGAATTGAAAGTTATCATACAGAAACGGCAACTCGGAATCCTGACGGCAAGCGACGGTGGGATACTCCACGATGAGCTGGAGTCCCCTTTGGAAAAAAGAAATTCTTGCAAGTACCAATACGGCGGCAAATGGTGGCACGTGGGATGCTATACACTTGTATGGATCTGCTCCATGTGACGAGAGATATGATTGAATATCTATATATATATATACATATACATATATATATATATATGAGTAGTATACACGCACTTATATACACTCACCTACATGCATGGTATATATATATATAGATATAGATATATATATATATATATCTATATCTATATATATATATATATCTATATATATATATAGAGGTACACGTGCATTTTTTGTGAAGCCACTCGAATGCTGAAGGCATCAACCCGCGGCCAAGCCAAACGCTTTGAGCCAGGCTCTAGCCCGGCAGACATCAAGGGATTTAAGCGTTTTTTTGGGTCTTACAGTAGAGTTTAGGGGCCAGGGTCGAGGGGCTTTTTGTTTGAGTGTTTGAGGCTGGGGGGGGGGGGGTCCAGAATGAGGGGCTGAGGCTCTAGGAGGTCCAAAGGGTATGAGCCACGTTTTGCAGTCAATCTTAGTCTTAGGCATTAGACTCAACGCAACAAGGCAGAGTCCTTCACACATCGCTTTGCCACACTTACTCGGACTTTCGGTTTAGTCAGCTGCTGCTCTGTTTAACTTTTGTGGTCGTGGTTGTTGGTTGTGGTTGTTGTCGTCATCGCCGTCGTCGTCGACACGAAAGCTTTGGATTAGTGTGACAACGACGACGAGGACGAACGACGACTGCTGCTGCTACGCGACTTCCTCCTCCTGTCACCCTGCCACCATCAGCACCACGACCACTGCCACTACGACGACGACGCTACTACTGCTGCTGCTGCTGCTGCTGCTCCTACTACTACTACTACTGCTGCTGCTACTACTACTACTACTACTACTACCACCACCACTACTGCTACTACTGCTGCTGCTGCTGCTGCTGCTACTCCTACTGCCACTGTTACTGCTCCTACTACTACTCCTACTGCTACTGCTGCTGCTGCTTCTGCTGCTGCTGCTACTGCTGCTTCTGCTGATGTTCTGCTACTGACTGCTGCTCCTGCTACTGCTAGCTACTGCTGCTGCTATCAGGGATTACTGCGATCTGTTTGTTTCTAACTCCCTGCTGTCGTTGCGCCGACGCTTCTCATGATGCTGAGTGTGCACGAGGATGATGACACATCATGGTGTCGATGGTGTCGGGTGTTTCGCTGTGCGAACACAAGCGAGCCACTGAGCAACCGTTAAAATGATGCTCATGGTGCAGTTTCGGGTCAACGCGTTCGGTCACACAGCGCATTTGAACGATTATCTCCATTTGTGCAGGAGCTACTCGTCGGGCCAGCATCATGCACGACTGCCCATCCATTTCCGTGTGTGGCCGCCGGAATGCTGCTTCAAGAGGTGCCCAAAGACGCACGGCAGCTAGACACCTGAGTTTTTTGATGAGGCAGGTCTTTCCTGTGCTCGTAAAACAAGCAAGGCGTGGCGTGCACAGCGGTGCTTCCCATCATTCTGGTTCTCTGTATAGAGGAAAGACGACTTTTCGCAAGGTGAGGCAGCAACCAACCAGTCGAGTTACCACGTCAGGTCATGGGTTGTCCTGTGACAGTTGGTGCTGCCTCAACCTCAGCCTCATGTCAAAGTTGACAGAATCTATGCGAGATAGGGACCAGCTCCGGACACGGGGGCGAACGATGCAGGTGAGGGCGTCCAATCTGTAATTCGTGGATTGCAGACGAAAGCAAAGACACATGAGCACAGCATGTACAAAGCTTCGGCCCTGCACTCCGAAATAGCACCAAAGC